TGTGCAGTGGATGGGTTAGCCTGTTGAGGCAGCTACCTGGGAGTCCGAGTATGATATGCAGAGTAGATATCCCCACCTTTTTTCGAGCTCAAGTATTTTTCTATGTCCGTTCGAGGACGAACGATTGTTTTAGAGGTGGAGAATGTGATGACCTAAAAGGTCATATTATGATTTAAAATTTAATTCTGCGTTCTGAGGCCTTAAAAACCTCCTTTTATTCCTTCTTGATTTGCGTGTGCAGCCCGTGCATGCTTCCGGAAAGCCTTTATGTTAAAAGTTGATTTAGCTGACTTCGGTCAACGTTGAGTAAACGGACCCAGACTCGTATTTTGACAGTCCCAGTGGGTCTGTATCAAAATATGGGACCTGGGCGTATGCCCAAAATCGAATTCCGAGATCTCTAGCTCGAAAAATGAATTTTTGATAAAAATTGAAAGACTGAAAATTAAATGTTTTTAAGAATTTGATTAATATTTGATCTTGTTGGTATCAGGCCCGTATTTTGATTCCAGAGTCTAGTACAGGTCAAAATGATATTTATACCTTATATGTAAAATTTGGTGAGAAACAGAGTTGGATTGACGTGATTCGGATGTCCGGTTGAGAAAATAGAAATTTAAAACTTTCTTGAAAATTTCATTCAATTTGGTGTTAGATTCGTAATTCTAGGTGTTATTTTGGTGATTTGATCGCGCGAGCAAGTTCGTATGATGTTTTAAGACTTGTGTGCATGTTTGGTTTGGAGCCCCGAGGGCTCGAGTGAGTTTCAGATAGGCTACAGAGTGATTTGGACTTAAGAAAATTACTGGTGTGCTTCAGGTCTGCAGGTCTCGCAAATGCGAGGTCTGGCTCGCAAATGCGAGCCTCGCATTTGCGAGCAATGGGCTGGGAGGAGATCTTCGCAATTGCGAAGCTTAGGATCGCAATTACGATCAACAGTGACCGCATTTGCGAACAATTGTTCGCATTTGCGATGATAGCAGGGCCAGACCATTCTTCGCATTTGCGAAGTAAAGTTCGCATCTGCGGGGTTCACAATTATGAACCCCTGATCGCAAATGCGATAATTGCAACTATTCAAAAACGATTTTGGACAGAATTTTTCATTCATTCCCATATTTTTCAAAACCTAAACCTCAAGAGGCGATTTTCCAAAGACCACTTCTTCCCCAAATCATATGTAAGTGATTCTTAGCTCATTTCTTTCAATCGTTTACTTCTTTTTACAAGATTTCATCCTAGAATCTAGGGCTTTTCATGGTGGAATTGGGGATTTTTGAGTAGAACTTAGGAATTTTGAAATTTGGGAATTTAGACCTCAAATTGAGGTCGGATTCCATAACCAATTGTATATCCGGGCTCGGGGGTGAATGGGTAATCGAGTTTTGGTCCAAATTTCGAGTTTTGACCAAGCGGGACGGGGGTCGATTTTTGACTTTTGGGGGAAAATGTTGGGAAACTTATAATTATGTATAGGAATTGATTTTTAGTGATAATCGATGTTATTAAGTTATTTGTGGCTAGATATAAGTGGTTTGGAGATGGAATCTAGAGGAAAAACTGTAATTGAGCGTTGAGTTGGTCGTTGGATCGAGGTAAGTGTTATGCCTAACTTTGACTCGAGGGATTAGGGATTCTTGACTTAATTGCTATGTAAAAATCTATGTGAGTGGCGTATAGGTGAGGTGATGAGTACCTATGCGCCGCCAATTTATCTATTTTACTTGTTTTCTTCCCGTTCTTATTATATATTGTCTTCCTTGCCTTAATCGCTACATGCTTTACTGGTATTTTCATGTTTAATTGCTAGTTGTCATATATTATTTTTCTTTGTTGAAGGTATTAGATATCCCGTAGTTTCATTGTCTCATATTATTGGCTTAAGTGGGTTTAATGGTGTTTTATGGTGTATTTTGGATTGATCTCGCTGAGTAGTATTATTTGTGTGAAGTTTCATAATATACAAGCTTTCTGTTTGTTTTGGTTTGAGGTTTAAATATTGTGGAGAATTTTGAGTTAAATTGTGAAATTCCTGTTCTTAGTGTGTAACTGGTACTGATATGGTGGGATCAGGTTATGCGCCGCAACATGAGGAATACGGGTGATATATTGAGGAGGAATTAGGGTGAAATGCTATTATATGATAGGATCGGGTTGCGCGCTGCAACAGGAGGAATAAAGGTGATATATTGAGGAGGAATAAAGGTGAAATGCTATTTTACGGTGGGATCGGATTGCACTTCGCAACAGGAGAAATAAGAGTGGATTGATATGGAGTAATAAGGGTGAATATTTATATTGATATTGATATATGGTGGAATCCGGATGCGTGCCGCATCAGTTTATATGTTTTTGTATTTTCTTCTACGGTGTAAGTTATTTGGTAGCTTCGCATTTCACTTAAGGATTGGTTATAGCTGGAAGCACATGAGTTCTATATTCATTCCTTGCAAGTTACTGCTTTATTTTATCCTGGCCTTCTTTCTGCTTTTATTATAAATTGTATGCAGGTTATATTGTAATTGCCCCGCTGTAGCCTCGTCATTTCCTCAACGAGGTTAGGTTCGACACTTACCAGTATATGGGGTCGGTTGTACTAATACTGTACTTTGCACTCTCTGTGTAGATTTTAGAGTTGGTAGTGGCTGATCGAGAGGTCGGTTGCAAATATTTCAACTAGGAGACCCAAGGTAGTCCTGCTGGTGTCCGTAGGCCCTGCGTCCCCTTTTATATCTCTACATATTTTTTTCTTTATTTCCAGAATAGTTGTAATTTTTTCCAGACCTATGTTTGTAGAAAATCATAGTATGTTCGTGGATTGTGACACCGAATTCTGGGTTGTAATAGCAATGATATTGGTAATCATATATAGACAAAAATGTTATTTACTTACTTCCGCATTTATTTTTACTTGTTTTAGCTTGTTAATTTTTAATCAATGAAACATAAAGAAAAATGGTTAATATAAACTCCAACGTTGGCTTGTCTAGCAAGTGTGATGTTAGACGTCATTACGGTTCCGTTGATGAGAATTCCGGGTCGTGACAATATTAGAAAATGGTAATATTGTTAAACAACAATATTCAAGATGCAACAAATGTAGCATGTTTCTTACGGGTTTGATCGAATCCAATATTTTCTTGTTATACAATATTAAATTCCGAACTTATAATTCCGAAGATATATATACAACATGTTCAACAATGAGATTTTCGTCCCTTAGCCCCTCTCCCACATGTTCTATCTATCATTAGAATTAGGGCAGATGGCTTACCTCATTAAGCTATTGATCACCGAAGCTATCGTCCGATTCAACCAACCGTCCATGTCCTGATGCTTTTTCATAGGTGGAAATCCATTAATTTTAAATCTTGGATCCACCTCTATTGTGTGTGACAAACAAGAACATGTGATTGGTCGAATGTATCGATAACATCTTTAATTTAGAATAGTGACAACCCTAATATGCCAAATACGGATATCCTGAATACTTAATATTTAATTAACAAAACCAACAAACTAAATGGAGATTAAGTCAATCTAATTACCTCTCTAGGGGGCATATTCCACAGAACATTGCAATTGTTCCTCTACTAGGGTACCTTGGAGGTGCAAAAATCATATACATAAATCAGTTGAGACCTGTTTAGTTAATATTTAATCAAGAAGATTACCCAACTATAAGTCTAGATTAAACTAAGTCAAGATTAAGTTAATCTAATGTACCTCTCTAGGGGGCATATTCCACAGGACATTGAACTTGTTGCTTTACTATGGTATCTTAAAGGTGCAAAATCACATGCATACCATAATTATGAACTTGCAAAATAGATATCTTTATAAAAAAATTCGTCGTTTCTGATCCTGCTTCATCTTAATTGTTATTTGTTTATGTATAAGTTATATCTTGGTTCGAGTGGAGATATCATATTTCTAAATTAAATTAGCTAAGGTTCACTTTGCAATTAAATAAGGTTCACTTTTGCAAAGAAAATTCAAAAAGGATCTTATATACCAACACCTATTGTGGTAGTTTATAATTTATGAATTTCAATAATGGAATATTATAGCTTTATTTGGGTAAGCTTGCTCACACTGTCTCTCTCACACCCTAATAATATAAAAACCAATTTATTTAGAGTTGAGGCATATGTTTACAATAAGTAAATGACATACTTTCAATTTATTGGATGTTACTATTGAAGAAAGGGTAATAACAACAAGAACAATAACAATATATTCGGTAAAATTTTACAAGTCGGGTCTGAGGAGGGTAGCGCATACGCAACCTAACCCCTTTCTTTGTAAAGGTAAAAAGACTATTTCCGATAGATTCTCGGCTCAAAAAAGCATAATCCCAACAATTATTAAAAGGACAAACAAAGTAGTAACAACAATAAGAAAATAAGATAACCGAAACAAAGAACTATTAGATAATAATAGAAAATTAAGAACTAGTACACTAATAAAAGAGAAACACGCGAAGGGTCCATATTTTATTTTCCTTTTAAGTTATAGAATCAACTTGTGCATTCAATTTTATAAATTTATATGTTGAAAAAGTTGATTTTATACTTGAAATGTATGCATGCATCTAATTACCAATATTTTTCCTAATTTCACTCTTTTCTATAAAAGGAAAATAGACATTGAACAAGTTGATTTTATATTTGAAACGTAATTCATAAAAATTTAATCAATAATAGAAACCCTTTTGGTCATATTTCAATAACTTTTCCTAATTTTACTTCTTTCCTATGAAACAAAACAAAATTATTTTGACCAAACTTTTATCCAAAAATAGCATCAAAAGTCAAATTCTTGAAAGTAAAAGGAAACCTCCTAGAATATAGGTAATACTAAACCCCACTCCAGTAACTCAAATCTTACCGTGGTTAAACCGCGGAGCATAGAACCACGCTCTTATGTCACGCGTGAACGACACGCGCCATGCGAATATATTTCCCCTTGTTCGTTCTTCTTCTTTGGGGTCTCCAAAATTTTGGCTTCTCCCACTGTTCCTCTCTCTGTTCTCTCTCTTTAGCTCTCTCCTATATATACATACATTTTTTATATGTATATGTGCATGTAAAATTATACATACACATCAATCTTGAAACACTCCATTTCCCTCTTTGAAGCTCTTTGGGCAATTTTGCCGAGGACCTCAATAATCTGTATGTTTAATTTTCTTGTTCCCCATTTTCTTTTTTATGGGTTTTATATTATTTATTTTTTTCATTTTCAAGATTTGTTGGTATTTGTTTCTGTGTTTTTTGGGTTATGTTCTATAAAATTCATGATGTTTTTAGATGATGGTATTTGGTTTCTTTCAAATTGGAAATGAAATTTGAGGTTTTTCATGTTAAAGTTTTGATCTTTATTATATTTTTCTGGGTTTTTATGCATTTTCATGTTAAAGTTTTGATCTTTTTTGAGAATCAAGTAATGATCTTTCTGCAAATTTTAGAGGGGGTTTGTAGGGTGGGGGGGATTAAGGCTAGTAGACAAATTCAACAATCAATAATGTAATATAGTATGGCTCAATTCATATTAATTGAGGTGCCAGGTGTTTGAATCATTTGTATTTATTTATAGGCCGGTTGGCCAAGCTTCTTTTTGGGCAAAAATTGTCCAAAGCACTTTTGGCCAAAAATTAAGGTGTTTGGCCAAGCTTTTGGAAGGAAAAAAAGTGCTTTTGAGGAGAAACACAAGCAGATAAGCAGAAAAAACTAGCTTCTCTCCAAAATCACTTTTTTGAGAAGCACTTTTGAAAAAAATACACTTAGAAGCAGTTTTTTAAAGCTTGGTCAAACACTAATTGCTGCTCAGAAATGCTTTTCAAACTAATTAGCCAAACACAAATTGTTTCTCACCAATAGTACTTTTGAGAAAAACACTTTAAAAAAAAAAACACTCCTCAAAATAAGCTGATTTTTGCAGCTTAGCCAAACGGGTTATTACTCAATTTGATTCCAATTGTTTAGAAAATTAAATAATTCTTAATGATTGTTAACTTATATTAACCCTCCTCGTTTATCTGAGCTTGAGACAAGGCTGGTAGACAGTTAAGAAGAATGAAAAACTAGTTTTTTTCTTGTCTTTTGACTTTTTAATGGCAAAATCGTGTGCTTGACATGTGCCATTAGTCAAAGAAGTAGCTTGTCATTTCTTATTGTTAATTCTCCATTTACTTCATTTTCTCCCCCTAGTTTTTATGGTTTTATTTGGTAGGTATGGCACTACTGCTTTCTTTTCATATTTTCTTGAGCCGAGGGTCTATCGGAATCAGCCTCTCTACCTTCACTAGGTAGGGGTAAGGTTTGCGTACACACTACCTCCCTAGACTCCACTTGTGAGATTATACTAGATTTATTGTTGTTGGTGGTGGTGGTGTGTATGGTTGGAAATTAGTTGGTAAAAGCATAACCTATGAGTTTGTATAGTATCATGAATATAACTACATGTCATTTGTTTGGATGTATTTTGATGTTTCCTATATGTTGTTATGGGAAATGAGTAATCCATAGTGGTTTTATGTTCTGTATTTGAGAGTTGACAAGTTAGTTATACTATATATTGTTATGTGAATTTGTGTCTTGTGATTTGTGAGGTGTTATAATGGTTTTGATGATATATTGTAGTGAAGCTGGTCGTTTGACGCGAATCTAGTTGTGTGCTTCCTCCTCGGTCTCCATTAATTGGAAGATGGGCTGTTTTAGTTCTACAGCAAGACAGCAGTTTCAAGGATACGAAGATCCTATATTCCTAGCATCCCAAACAGCATGTGAGTTCATAATGATCTTGGTATAATGACGTTTTACTGTTTTAGTATGTTACGATTGATTTGATAAAGTTGAACTTGTTTTGTGAAGTTGAAAATTTTGAGATGAACAAATGGAGAAACTGTGAGGGTGAGGTTAAAGTAATGATCTTTTTGGACTGGAACACAAGATTCCGCCTTTTCTGTACCAATAATTCTGATTTTACGTATGGAAAATCCCTCGATATCTTGTTCCTTTTTGGTGGAGAGATACTATCGAGTCACTTGTATTTAACATAACCGTGCCTAATGTTTTTCCAAAAAGTGGTGACGAAACGTACAACTTGTACAAATTTCCTTGTTATTTTTTAAGGTGCTAAATACATTTACAACAGGAAGAAATTTTAGAGTTTGATCTGATGTTAGAACACAGTTAAACAGTGAATTTTCATCATTTATGCAAAAGAAAGTAGTCTTTCTGAGTTGTGCTGAAAATCATTCAAAAGAGTAGCGAGGTTTATTATCTTTCGATTTACTCTTACAATTGAAATTCTTATGTAGTATACAACCCTCCTCCACGTGTCTTATTTGGTTTCCTTTCTGTTATTCTCCTCTTTTTGCAGTTACCGTAAGTGAAGTTCAGGCATTATTTGAGATGTTCAAGACTATTAGCAGTACAGTAATTGACGACGGGTTGATAAGCAAGGTAGGCTCTATTGAACTGGTGAAATTGGATTCGGTGGTGCTTATGATTTCTTGTTGCATAATTCCAGATGGATAGTTTAAGTTTAAAACTAGACTATGTTACCTGTGTCCGGGGCCTAAAACAGAACATTCATGTTGGATGTGCAGGAAGAGTTCCAGTTGGCATTATTCGAGAATAGAAAAAAAGAAGACCTTCTTGCAAATCGGGTATGGTATTTCATTGGTATATTTGGTTTTGTTCTACATAATGCTTATTAGTTCGTTCTGAACCTATGTTGCTCAGACTCCCCAAAAATGTTGTCGGGTGCGTATTGGATCCTCCAAAAGTAGTGTATTTTTGGAGGATCTAATATGGGTGCAACATTATTTTGGAAAGTTCGTGCAACATAGCTGAGAATTGGAACATGTTATATAAGAATTGCTCAAGTAAACATGCCATTAGGGTTAATGTGTCAAAGAACACACATAAGTGGTTCACCAAAATATGGATGTTTAACTTATGGAATGCATTGAGTTTATGTTGTGCGGACTCTCCAAAATGATGCAGCACTCGTGTTGCATCCTCCAAAAATATACTACTTTTGGAGGATCCGACACACACTCAGCAACTTCTTTGGAGAGTCCAAGAAAAACATAGCATTGACGTGGCAAGCATGCTAATATTATATATTTACTTATCTTTATTGCCTTGGTGGGATATTAATTTCTTCTAGGAACTTTCCATTGCAGATTTTTGATCTATTTGATCTAAAGCAAAGAGGAGTCGTCGATTTTGAGGATTTTGTTAGGGTAATGAATGTATTCCACCCAAATTCCCCCCAGGAAGATAAAATCACTTGTAAGTAAAGAAAAAATGATATAGCTATGTGCTTCTTATTAATTGTTTCTAGTTTAATGATTAATTGCATGCGAACAATCACACGGAACTCCATCTTTTGTGCTATTGCAGTTTCATTTAGGCTTTATGATCTGGACGGCTCAGGGTATATTGAACGGCAAGAGGTATGATATATTTATGTATATTTTGTTTCTCTTTCGTGTTATGTTGAGAGTCACCTATGTGGTTCTCGTTATGTTTTGTTTATTGTAGGCTTCATTATTTTGTGGTTTTACATAGGTTAAACAAATGTTGATTGCGCTTCTACGCGAGTCTGATATGAAGTTGGCTGACGAAACCATCGAGATAATACTTGATAAGGTAATTTTACTGATGATAACCCATCAAATTTCATGATCAGATGGTTTTTCTTTTTTCGGGAAAATGCATCATCGCTCTAGGTTATTGTCCACTTCGCATTAAGATAACCTTTTCACTTGCTTTTTTTTTTTTCTGGAAATTTGCGGTCCTAATGGTAGTCTCAACGAACTTGAATAATTAGTGATTTTATTTCAATATGCAGACATTTTCAGAGGCAGATTCAAATCAGGATGGGAAGATTGACAAATCTGAATGGCGAAGTTTTGTGGCTCGAAATCCTTCATTATTAAAGATAATGACACTTCCATATCTAAGGTATAGCATTTGATCACTCATATATGTTTGCACCATTAAAAGATGAGTTTAACTCAGGTCCATCAACAGACGACAATATATAGAATTTTTACAGTATACAAGTCACATTTACCTATACCTATTGCAATATATTTTAGGTCGCCTGATAGTGTAATTTTTTTACTGTCGTTGTATACAAGTTAAAAAAAAAGGGTAGCCCGATGCACTAAGCTCCCGCTATGCGCGGGGTCAGGTTAACGGCCGAACTACAAGGGTCTATTGTACGCAGTATTACCCTACATTTCTACAAGAGGCCGTTTATACGGCTCGAACCTGTGACTTCTGGTCACAGAGACAGTAACTTTACCCGTTACGCCAAGGCTCCCCATCTTCGGTGTATATAAGTTAAACTCTTAAAAAAGATTGGACGAGGAATATATCGGCTGATGAGATTTGTACATGTTTTAATGCAGGGATGTAACAACTACTTTTCCAAGTTTTGTATTTCATTCAGAAGTTGATGAAGTAGCTACTTGATAATAGGAAATGCTAGTTCAAAATTAGTTCTTTCTCCTCCACATTTTCTTTTGTATTTTTCCCCTAATATATTAAATGTATGTAAATTTGTTGGGGAAAATGCGAAAGATATATCTATATTGTGTGAGGAGGTTTTGGTAGCCTCCCTTTTTGTAAAGTGATTATACTTTTGCCAATTTGGCCGATTAATAGTGAGTTTAGATTGGCTTTTTGTTTTTATTTACAGAGATAATTGTTCCAAATCTGTGTAGATGATTGATTTTTCACAAGAAATCACATTTTATTTTGATGTTTTTTTTTTTACGTATAGAATCACGTTTTATGTAAAAATTTCGACTTTTTGGTATACATCTTGTATGCGGAGTTCTCATGCTACTGCTTTGTTAGGGTCATATTTTGTAATGGCTAGTTAATACTTAATATATATAATAATGTCATCCAACGCAAAAAATAAAAATAAAATAAATAAATAAATAAAATGAAGAGTGACAGAAACATTCAAACAAGAAACTGGTTGAGATTTCTATTATTAGAACCTAATAGTATTAAGATTTAAGTGCACTTGTCCATAGGTGTTCAGTCTAATAGCAACCCACCAAAATTCTTGTCAATTTTCAAGTTTCAACTTCTTTAATACTATGAATTACTTTCTAAATATTGTAATGACTTCTTATTTTTAAGGGATGATAATGATATTTCCGCATTCAGAGGCGGAGCTAGGATTTAAAGTTTATGGGTTTTGATATTGTCATCAAACGCATTGCTTGTTTAGGTACTGAGTTCGCAATTAAATATTTATACATATGTAGTAAATTTTTTAATACAAATGCAAGGTCTACGCAAAAGCTACTGGGTTTGCCCGAACCCGTATCTAGCAACCCACCCCTGTTCGCTTTGAGTCTAGGCACATACAACTTTAAAATAATCACTAAAGTTCTAAGTATTATTTTCATATATACGTAACATCTCTCCCTTGTTTTGTTAATGTGAGATTCACCTAGTATGCCACACAGCCACCATCTTCTATTAGTGCCTACCTATAATTGATCGTGGAATGTGCAGCATTCATGAATGATGGTTCATTAATGTTTATTGACTTAAAAAAAAGTGGTTTTTCAGCAGAAATAGCTTTTTAACTTATTTTAAGCACTTTTTAACTCTGCCAAATACTAAAAAAAAACTTTAAAAAAACTTAAAAGCTAATTTGACCAGCTTAAAAGCCGATCCAGACATTCGCTTAGACTTCGGGCTAGCTTTCGCGTACCTCGATTAATTCCATTAAATACATATGACCTTCTACCAGCAACAGGTTCCAGGTAACACTGTCCATCAAAGCTTGTACAGATGAGAATAAATCACCTAGTATTCCTGTCTTCGCTGAATTTGAACCTAAGACTTCGTGATTTTTAACCCACTTCATTGACCAACAGGCCACTTATTCCCCATTCTTCCCCGCATGACCATCTTGGTTTCCTTTGAGTAAGAATTGAAAATAGTAGTGCTTTAAGTACAATTGTTAATGCCTCAAATTTATCCTTTTTCCCAAGACCAGTTTAAAGTTATATGGAACAATAAATCAATTATTAGATATTAATTCTGTTAGAAGAGGAGACAGTTTTTATTTCAAAAGGAATATGAGATAATATATTTTTTAGTATCTTGACCTTTTCAGGCTTTTTTGATTGGTACTCTCATTTCTATATCTATCTATATCTATATCTATACTATATTAAAAGCACGGAGGCCCTTAGCGAAATGTCGTTTGCCTTTTTTACCCTTTAAAAATGAGTTTTACATTAGACAAAATAATCATTTGTATTATTTTCCTAATTGTTAGAATTATTTTATATCTCCCTAATATTTAGGAATTCGAAATCAATTCAACTCAATATTGAAACGATATGAAAACCCAAAGAATACGGGTAAGAATTTTAGAATAGAAGGACCACAACACATAATGAGTTAATTAAATACGTAAAGAAAGATTCTGAGAAGATTTGAATTTAAAAATAAGGAAAGATTTTAAATATAAAATAGCTAAAAAAAATCGATAGCTGAAGGAAGCAGTTGTCTGCTTTCTCCACAAATTTGTCCAGTCTGTTTATTTTTGGTTTTGAACGAAGCAATTGAAACCATGAATATATTAAATATTTTGACAATTCTTTTGCATGTGTTAGATGAATTACTTGTGAGTTATATTTTTTCAGTAGTTCTTCGTTTGCTTGTGTGCCATAATTATTTATTACAATAGAAGAACTCTTTTATTTATAAGTAACATTATGAAACTTATTCATTCTTCTGTCTCTTTTATTTAATTTAATAAATAAAATTATTGGACAAAAAGACCTATACAATATGTAAACTTAGCAAATTGATTATGCCCTTTCCTAAAACTTCTAGGAATTAAGTTGTCTATTACAAGTTAAAATTATTACTTAGATGTGTTACTATTCGAACAGAACATAATCATTTAAAGTTCAAACAGAAAATACCTTTGATGATTTATTGGGAAGATTGTTGTTGGCCATATAATTAAATTGAAGGTTTTTTCTTTACTTTTCATTCATTATTTTTGTTTTGGATCTTTTAGAGCAAAGCATAATAAGTAGGTAAATTATACTTTTTTATATTCTATTTAGCTTTTATTATAGTTAATTATGTCAATGTACATTATAATTATAATTAATAATTTATTTTTGGTAGAACTAAATGTAGGACTTTAAGATTCAATATAAATTTTCTTACTTTGATATTCCTTTAGTTTTGGTAAGTTGTACTCTTAAGTTGAGGAGAATTATACTAACAAGTTCCACGAATGACTTGGTTAGAATTTATCAATGTGGTCTATACTTTAAAGAATTTAAAATTCGATTAACGATAGAACTAAGCCAACATAAAAGATACTAAAATTCGATGATATTTAGACTTAGATTGCTTTTCTTTGTTGGATGATTTTGTTTGTGTTTTCTAGAATGAGCTAGAGAATAACTTTTCAATAAAAAGTTTAAGTAAAACTCTTAAATCTTCAAAAGTTATATGTTCTCGTTGAAACCGAAAAGGAATCATGATAACTTACAAGGCAATTGACTAATCAGTGAGAACTTATATAAGGCAATTTCTTCTTTTATCGACTTAGCTATATAAGATGAACATTCATTATTTTTAGAAACATGAATTTTTATTTTATAACGTAAACACAAAATTATTAAATATTTAATATTTATGTCATATTTTAAAAATACTATCTCATTGAGACATGATATACGCGCAAGGCGCGTACCCAAAGACTAGTAGTTTTAAGAAAAATCATGTCCTACATAAATTCTCATATACTTTATTATGATTTCTCGCTTTGTCCCCACCCATCGAAGTTATTTAATTGTCTTCTTAATGTTTGAATTAATTAGCATATGCTTAATATAAATAAATAAAATGATAAGATCGTGTATATGTATATATATCTATATATCTTTATCTCCTCTTATATTAGATTATTTGAACCTCAAGAACAATTGTCAAGTTTTCTTTCAAAAGTTATTTGTAAATTTGAAAAATAATATGATGAAGTTGAAAAATAATTAAATTGAATATTTTTAATCAGTTAATTAAGAACTTAATTATATAGCTATTTTAATATCAAAATTTTGCAGCCTTTGTTAGTTTTCAATGGTCGGGCTATTCTATTATAAGTTTGGCCGTTTCCTTCCATTAATTATATGCACGTCCTCTTAGAAAATATAATACGTAAACATTCATATTTTTAGTATTATAATATTATAATATTGTATATGGTAAATGTAATTGATTTTGATATATACTTAGATTTTTTTGTGTAGTCGTTCAAATAAGGAAAACTTTAATAAGTAAAGTTTTAGTTGACTTCAAAATACTAAATATTAGGGAAATAATTAAATGATTATTTTGTCTAGTGTGAACTTTATTTTAAAAGGGTAAAAAGACGAACGACATTTCACTAAGGGCCTTCGTGCTTTTAATATAGTATAGATAAGTATAGAAGTAAAAAAGACAACATCAAAGTTTTTGCATATATTTGTATAGGCGTATAAAATTTAGATTCTTATTAAAATTCGGCTTTAGGCCACTAAATTCGTTGAGCTGCCTTGCTGGATGTAGACAGCTTATCCTAAAACAAGCATTAATGGTTGTTTCCACGGCTCGAACCGTGACCTTTGGATATCAAATAATAATTTGGTATACTTGATTAATTCTAGAAATGGTTTAAGGCAATCAAAAATAAAAAGAGAAGAGATGTAATATTCTTTTCAAACAAGTGGTCGATCAACCTTATGTTATGCTCAATTGAAATTCTTCAATCACACAAAAATTAGAATCCAATGCAAAATTCTGATGAATAAAAATATAACCATTCTTTTTCCTGAGACATCTCTTAACCACAAAATTAATTCTCATCTTTCTTCTTCTCTACATTGTTTCTTGTTTCATTATCAAAATTGTTTACCTTTTTGTAACCTTTTTGGGATTTGACTCCATAATCAACTTTTGTGAGAGGTAACAGGTCTTTTTTGATCTGTTCTCTTCTCTCTCTTTTTTTTCTCTCTTCAACCAGCCATTAAAAAATGGCTTGGCCATTACTTCTCCTGTTGTTTTCATCTCTGGCTTTTTCACATGCACAACTCACATTAGACTATTATGCCAAAACATGTCCACAATTTGATGCTATAGTGAGGGACATCACCCAACAAAAGCAAATGCAATTCCCGACCACCGCGGCTGCTACCCTTCGAGTCTTTTTCCACGACTGTGCTGTTGATGGTTGTGATGCCTCCATCCTTATCAAGCCCACCGCCTTCAACAAACCCGAGCTCGAATACGACATCAATCAATCCCTAGCCGGTGATGCGTTCGACCTCATCACCCGCATCAAGACTGCCCTCGAGCTTGCCTGCCCTGGCGTCGTATCCTGTGCCGATGTTTTAGCGACCGCTACGCGAAATCTCATCGTTCAGACTGGTGGACCGCACTATAAAGTTCCACTAGGTCGAAAGGATAGTCTAGTTTCTAACGTTTCAAACGTCGAAGCGCACCTGACACGTGCGAACGCGACGGTGGACCTAATGATCAAGAAATTCCAACTTATGGACATTGGTGTTAAAGATATGGTTGTGTTAATTGGTGGTGGACACACTATTGGATTTGTTCATTGTAAGGAGTTTGCTAACAGAATTTTTCCCACCCCTGACCCAACAATGAATCCAATATTAGTTGAGAGATTAAGAACAATGTGTGTAAATTATACAAATAACAAAGACATGGCAGCTTTCCTAGATGTGATATCTCCTGGAAATTTCGACAATGTGTTGTTCAAGAATTTAATGAAGGGAATTGGAGTCCTAGGTTCAGACCAATTACTTTATAATGATCCCAGGACAAGGCCATTTGTTGAATTATATGCTAAAGATAGCAATGCTTTTGCTACTGATTTTGCTGTTGCAATGGAGAAACTAAGTGTATATCAAGTCAAGATTGGTAATCAAGGAGAGGTGAGGAAGAGATGTGATGCTGTTAATAATGCTCACGCTTGAAAGAGAAAAGAGAAAGAAATTAAATGCCATGAACTTTTTTTATGGTTTTGTTTGAATTTTGAATGAATCAAGAAATCTCCATAATGATGTGTAGAATTTGTACTTATGATGATGAATGATACATTGGATAAGAAAGTTATTAGTATTATGATTATTTTATCAATTTAGTGTAAGTTTTGCATGTTGAATAATGGGAACAAATGGGGGTCTCCTTCATTTCTGAAATTTGGTTCCATCATTTTGTTCAGGATATAATATCATAATAGATTGTGCATTTATCAATATTTATATAAAGAAGGGAAAAATAATATTGACATGGCACATCTCTATGATCAAGGATTCTATTTATCTATTATCTCAAATTTTTGGCTTTTTTCCTCTCATTTTGATACAATAACCAATTATTGCATTCAAAAAATATGTTTTAATTGGAACTCAACAATACATGATGTAAGGTATAAAGAGTGCCGTTTCAAATTGGTTATTATAATTTTATGTATATTAATTACTAATTAATACACTAATACTAATTTTATTACAATTATACGTTACAATCTATTTCTATTATACTCAATGTAAGTTACTAATTTAATTGGCTACTATAAATACTAAAGTAAATCTTCTCATGATCCACATAACTTTGACCTATTATTCTTCAACAATCCTTCCTCTCCTTTCATTCAAACTCTTTATATAGAATATTTTTTTACCTCTTTTCCAGCTTCTATATTTTGCTCCAATTATTATTTCATATCTATTATTAGTGCATAATTTTTATTGATTAGGGAGTGGAGTGGAAGAGTGGGGAAGAAAAAAGCATTTGATGTTATTTGTGGCAGTATGGGATTCGAACATTATGTTATTCTTTTAGGTTGTTATAGGGTTGCAGTTAATGCTCGAATTTAAATGTAAAAAGCTTTGCCTTTACTTTGCTCTTTCTGCTAAAAATTCGTTATTTTATCAAATGATTCAGCATGATTATGTATTTATGTGCTAAAAATTTAAATGTTAAAATTTTCATTGCGCTACTCATGATTCTCTTATTTTAGAGCAACTGAGAAATCTGTTTTCACCCGTATTCTCTTTGTTAGTTTTGTTCATGTGTATGTATGTATATATATATATA